CACACACACACACACACACACACACACACACACACACACACACACCTATGTTTTGATTAAAATTACCACCAAGCCTCTATATCTTAATTTTGGACTTTGCTTTTTTGCGCTTACAATTGCACCATGTCCCCGTTAACAGACAGCCGGTCGTGGAAGATCGGTAACAACAGTTTAGCATGTGCAGTGTGTGTGACATAGAAAGATATTCATTAATCAATATAGGAATTAAATTATCGAGTTATATATGTAGGTACATAAATTTTCTTACAAAAGAATATGAGATTATGCATAATTCTCAATCTCAGCTTTTTTTTCATATTTGGCAATCATTTGACGTTATTTTTCTGTAAAGAAGAATGAAAAGTAGAAACGCTTTATATCTCCTGTAAAAAGTTCCTTGGTCCCATAGAAACAAGACCAGATAAAGTGCGTATAAATTATTGACTTGTAAATCACTTTGCTTCAGCAAAAGCATGAATTTGTTGGCACAGTATTTTGAGAGAACAATCCGCTATCTGTCAACGTACATAGCTCTTTTTACCAATCTAATATTATATCTTTTAATAACCTTATCTAATAAAATTTTTTTTCACATTTAATCATTTTTAATATAGTGTATTATAATATATTATAAATATAATATATTACGTATATATATGTAGGAAATTCCAAAAAAAGATATGAATCAGCAGTACTTTTTTTTAAAGATATTTTTTTGAAAATTTTATCAAAATTTAATTAATGAACTAGTTAAAATTAAGAATTAAAAGTAATAACTTATTAAATATCCGCTCTATTTCATTAAGAATATAATTTCAATATTATAATAATTATGAGACACGCTGTGTAATTGTATTCATTATGTGTTTAACTTTTTATTCTTCTTTTTCTATATTATATCGGATCTTTATAAAGAATGTTTGGAATGTTCTAAAAATATTTGTAATAGATTCTAATCAATACCTTTTTATAAATATATGTACGTGAGTGAATACATATGTGTGGCGATCGTGGCGTAGAGTTACGCGTCTACTCTCTATCAAGAAATCCGATTCAAATTTACCCAGAATACTTCTCGGAAAGCAATGGCAAACTACTAAGAGTATCTTTGTATCATAACCACCTAATTTTAATAGCACAATTTATTAATGCAATAAATTGTGCTATTGGAATTAGATTGTCATGACAAAATTACTCTCGATTGAAAATTAGCTCCCAATATTGATTCACGTTTGTGAAATAAACGCTTTACGTTTGATAACCAATATATTGATTTTAAATATTAAACCAATATCTCTCGTCCAATCAAAATATTTATAAGAATTATATTAATTAGTAAAAAGAATAAATATACAACAAAAATTTATTACATGACACAATGACATATCTAGATGGTATAGAAAATTTTGTTACTCTTCTAATATATTTCTCTTCTATAATTCTATAATTCTTCAGGGGATGATAAAAGAATGCAATAAAAATACTTCAAAAAGTTACATTCATCAGATTTACGATCATCATTTCATTGGTATTACAAACCTGTAAAACCGTTAAAAACTGTAAGTTTCATATATCAGTGGATATGCAGAAAAAGTCATTATATTTCTGACAAGAGACTTAAAAGAATGTGTGAGCGCATAATTATTGAAAACAACGCAAATAATTTATTAAGCCGATGTGAAAAGACAAAGCAAAAAGTCGTATATAAATTTTAAAACATAAAATATATTATAAGCAAATTATAATAAAGTTTTAAATAAATTGTTATTATCGTTGTAAGATTCTTACAGTACTGATACATATTTTTACTAGAACATCCTTCATATATATAAAGGGTGGGCCATCTATTGGTACGTGTCATTAATAATTGGGGTGACCGAATGGCATACTGTAAGGCCAGTAGAGGGAGCCACATGAACGAAATCGTTTTTCATTCTTGACGCGGATACTTTTAGCTTCACAACAAAAAAAAAATTAATAAAAAATATCAATGTATGCTCATTTGATCGCATTTTTAAAAACGTACCAATAGATGGCCCACCCTGAAAAACGTACCAATAGATGGCCCACCCTATACAAAGCGTTACAAAAGTGGAGTATAAAAGTACTACAAAAGAAGTTTGCAAAAATTAAATAATGAAGACAACAGTTTTTCAATTACAAGAGAATTCAATTAAATACATAATTTGGCATATCAATTGTGATTATTTTAGCTACATTTTCAGCATAAAGAAATTCGTCTCTATAGTCCATTCTATCAATCTTTGACGATAGCTCATTACTTTATTAACTAAATTTCAAACTAATACTTAAAAATCTATTTATTGCTCGGAATAAAAAGTCACAATTTTCATTACTTAATTTTTCGTTCACTTTCCGTTGCAGTGCTTTTAGACTCAATTTTTGTTACACTCTGTATATATATATATATATATATATATATACATATATATACATATATATACATACATACATACACATACATATTATATAATATTTATATAGTAAATAAAATTCTTAAGCCCGATGCAATAATTCTATACAAATACACTGATTTCTTTAGTAGATTGAAGTACTTGACAACAGTTCCCTTTTAACAAACGCACAGTCACACTTACTGTCATTGAGCTCAAGTCGTTACAACAATGCTCTTTCCGTTTCACTACATAAACGATAGTATAATATTTGTAAATAGAGCGATTTTTTTTCGTGATATGGACCGCCCATCAATATACAGATAACTGCTGGAAAGTCCTGACATATGTCATATATGTCTATGGCATTGTACGCATTACATAGACATAAAAGGAGAAATTTCTTCTGAGCATACATCATTTCTCATTAATTCGCGCTTTTTAACTTTCTGTTTGTATAATTAATACGCGTAGCGGATTATGTATAAATATATCCTTAAATCTAAATTACAGAGAAGAGATTAGAACATGTAATAATAAAAGGATGTGATTATATTCAGATAATCAAGCCTGCAGAGACAGATTTTGAGCTGAGTATGCTACCAATTTTTGATGGCAGAAAAGCAATAAATTTCACAAAATCTGACAATGTCAGACGCTAGAAATATAACGAAGCCTGCTAACACGCTATACCATCATTGGTGGCAGAATATATTTGTTGGGTTTTTGTTGTCAGTCTGCCGCCAAATTGCTTACAGATCCTGCTTGATTTCTGTCACTAATCTGCTGGCATAGCATATAAGCAAGCCTTGTCGACAAATTTCGAGTTTTAATGCGGACACAAATGGATTTACAATAGGAATCTGAAATTTGCTACCAATCTGCCAACAAATTGCTATAGCATTTTGCTATCTATATACATATAAATGTGCCTCTTACAGGAAGAGGTCTTTCTTTCTTATATAATAAAAGAGGGAAAATAATAACTCAAAAGGAAAATAATAATTATAGCCTCTTATTCCACTGTAGTTGAGTGATAGTTTGTTTCACAGCATACATTTAATCGTTACAACTTTCATATTGTATTTTAACATCATGTGATTTTTAAATAATTTTAATAATATATGATTAAGATTTTTCGCATTATTTACATATGACTTCTATGAGATATTACTAAAAAAAATAATATCTTGAGTACCTAAAAATTCTATTCAAAAAACGTCCATTGTGCATATCTCTAAATAAATAATTAAACAAATTGATTTCTTTACATATATATAGCGCATGTAAAATCATACACTACGTGCGCCAGGCTATGCTAAATTGATCTAAAAAGTTCTATATTACAAATTATATGTTACTTAACTAAATAGAGAAAATGTTAAATAGGAATCTCTCAACTCTTAAATGTCACATTACGGGAACAATGCACTTGGATGTGGTATACCCAACTCAATTCGATTGCTTATAACTTTCATAAAAATAAACAATTTTTTTTAATCAACAAAATAGTATCAAGCAAATATATCTTTATTAATAAAAAAGTTATAAGCAATGGAAGAAGCATAAAAAAAACATTGGATAAAGAAATGATGGGTATGCCACACCGAAAAGGCGATTTAAGTTGTTATTAAACTATTTGGCTACATGAAGATAGATCACTTATTTGGCAACAGTTTCTCTAGATATTTCTCCCTTTACGTCCTAGAGCAAATCTAAATGTTGCACGCATAATATACATATATTTGAGTGACAAAGTGCTAAAGTTTGTAAAGAAATAGAGATACAAAAAAAATTAACATAATCACAGTTGGTTGGCAGGCTTGCGAGCGAGCGCAGGCATGCGTTTGGACAGGCTCTTTCAACGCAAATACCTTGTCTTTCTTTACATGATTTTATCACTTGGTCGATATAGTACTTCTGTAGCCTGTTGAATCTTTTATATTGACAGACTGAGTCTTAAACATAATCATTTGTTCCAGGACTTGTCAATGGTTCTTGAGCCTGAAACAAATATGACACTTTTTAATACAAAACATTTTAAAATTTTATTTCTTTCATTATCATAATGTATAAAAATTACCTTTTAAAATCTTTTAGGTAAAAATTAATTCAAATAACTATATATAAAATTAGAAATTTTTACCTCTTCTCCAACTGTAGCTGCAGGGAGTGGGAATCTGTTTTTCTCAAGACTAAACTGATCTTCTGTAGTTTTTCTATAGACGGGATTATCGAAGTTCATACTAGTAACATTACGATGAAGATAATGCCTGTAGCACAGCACTGCAACAAGTGCGAGTAATAACAGTCCTAACGACACTACGCCTATTACGATGCCGGCGACTAAACCAGGATCTGTTGATTCAGCTATTGAGTTTCCTTTTCTTTCTGCATCTCCTGGCGATAATGGATCTAAAAATAGTATGTTCAAGTGAAAATTCTAAAATATATATATAAATTTAATATTCAAATGTAAAAAGTACCAGAAATCTTTTCCCATTCCAGCGCATTCATTACTGTAGTAGCAGAATTAATACAATTAATTAGTAAAAATTTAATAAATTCATTTTTTTTTAGTATATACAATGATCATAATTATAAAAATACAGTAAAAATCTAAAAAAAATACTAACTAAGCTATCAAGTAGATTGCACATTTGTAAGGAAAAAAATACATGCACATTCATATTATGCAAGGGGAGTAACATTAATGTATCTAATAATATTTCTTTAATTTAATATTGCAACAGATTACAAAATAAATTATAAAATATATCTCTTAAATATGAATAATTAAATAATCGATTGTAATCAGTCTATTTTTCTAGATAAATAATAAATATTAATTCAATATATTATTAGGTATCGCGAAAAGTTCGTGTCGTTTTTTCAAGAGATGTTTATAGGAACCGACGAACTTTTCGCGGTACTTAATACTTTAAATATAGCAAACAACTTTTTATTTATGAATTTTCTAATAAACAAAATTATTTTAAACATTAATTTTCTGATGTATTTATTTAGAAGAAATTGACTTCAAATTAGCTATAAATCGATTCGATAAAAACATATGTATATATATATTTGACATATTTAATATTACTACATAAGAAAATTAATATAGATTTGACATTCTGATTCAGCGTTCAATATCTCTTTTAAATAATGAAGTTATGCTAATACATTTTCAATTAGTGATTTCATGAAGCCCAATATAAAACGTATCCCAAAAATGAATCACCGTAAATTAATAGATGTTCAAATGATTAATTAATTTTATAATAGTTATATAAAAGCTTAATATATACCCAAAGAATCCGTGTGTATTAAAAAAATATCATTCAACTAAACTTACTGGCAGTCGTTGTAACATTCAGAGGTTTGAGCCTCTGGAACGGCATCATGGGTGTTTGCGTAGACGGCGCTATGGTCGTAGTAACTGGAATATCCCAAATTCATGCAACACGAATGCAAATAAATGAAACAACGTAAATAATGAGCGCATAACATCTTAGCAATTATTAGACGTTAATAAAAAATTTAAATTTTTATGTATACTAAATAATCAACTTTATGCATTAAAAATATACACGCTTTTTTTCGTAATAATTTTTTGCATCGAGCATTTGCGCATTCTCATATTATACTTTCTATTTATAATACATTTTTTATAAGAATGATCATGCAATGATTTATCATGGCGTGACAGCTGTTATATGAGATATCAATGTTAATAATTATATGCGTGTTGTCTGCATATGAACTTAATAACTACCGAATACAACGAAGAATTTTAAACAAAAAAATGACATTTTGAGCATTCTTTTGCATAATAAGCATTAATAAATTAAAATGCACCAACGACATGCAATGCTATTTGAGAATATAGACTTCCTTCTCATAATCTGCTTTTATATTGTAGAAAATGCATAACAAATTTTTGATAAATTGACGAACAGCTTTCCATAACTGTCTATTAATTAATTTATTCTTTTAGAAAAAGAATTTTGTAATTCGCGATATACGTATAACGCCCATTGCAAAAATATTATCAAACAATTATCTTTAATATAATTTAAAAATACATAGTCCTTTTAATTTAAAAGACCATTACGCTAAAAAATATGATTGAATTATAAATAATCGGCATGTCTGTTTCCCATAAATTTGTTGCTATGACGAGATAGTTGAAAATTGCGTAGTAACTCAGTGTTGGAAGGTCATTCGTCAATCGTGATATCCTCGTGACTGACTCACCATTTTCCACGCACATCAATCCATCAGGTAATAACCGTAAACCGTCCGGACAGGCGCACGATAATAGTGGTGATCTAGAGTTGATTTTAGGTGCGGGCAAACACAGATGACTGCAATGTCCATTGACAGCTTGACATTGATTCATTCCATCAGGCTGTCTGTAAGGATGATATACATGGACTACCATTGGATGTTGAAGCGTTCTGATTGACGTAACAGCTTCTACTTCCTTGCCGGTGAATTTGTTAGCTTTAAAAATCGTTTCCTTATCCCAATCGGTCCAGTATACATAATCCTCGAAGGTTGTTATACTGAAGGGATGCCTAAGGCTTTCGGGAGAATATAGTACTGTTCGTCTGCCGGTTCCGTCGTAATTACAGGAACCTATGATGTTCAATTTTGCGTCTACCCAATATACTCTCTTGCCAATCAAGTCTAAAGCTAACCCATTAGGCCACTTAACATCATTGCCGACAATCACCTGTAATAAACTCTTGTTAGAAGTCAAGATAAATTGGTATAAAAAACATATTTAATGTATTTTATTAATGATTCATAATTGCTTCTTTCAAACTGATTTGCAGGGACACCAGCAAGAAAAAAAATCCGCGACTCCAGAAAAGAAATAATTTAAAATAAATGTAAATAATTGTCTAATTGCAATTGTAAATTGTTAGTTAAGTTCTTTTTCGTCGAATGCACATGTGCATGCATACGTACACGTTCCAACATGACAAAAATTGAATATCTTCAAATTTTACGACGCTTAAATAATATACATGTATTCTTCAATAGTAATGAGAGAGAAAGAATAATGCTACTTTTTAATTAATGTTATTTCTAATATGTTATTTCCGTTTCTTACCGATCGACGAGTACCATCCATGCCAGCTCGTTCAATACGAGCCTCGTCGCTCCAGTCTGTCCAAAACATCCAACCTTCCAATGGATTCAGTGCTATCGCTCTAGGCTCCTGAATGCGATCTCGTATAAGAGTTTTTCTCATATTTCCTTCGAAATTGGCCAATTCGATAGTATCTTTTCCAGAGTCTGTCCAATAAATGTGACTGTAAATCCAGTCAACTGCCAATCCATCTGATGTGGTAAAATCGTTTTCGATAACGACTGTGCGTTCATTTCCTTCGTCTATTGGAGCTCTAAAAAAATATGTCATTTGATCAATGTATCTCTTAACATGAAACTTAATAATAGAGAGTTTTTTCTAGTTATAAGGAAATTATAACATACTTGTAAATTTTCTTTTCACTGATGTCGCTCCAGAAAATCATTCCAGTGCGAAAGACAAAGTCCAAAGCTGTTGCCATTTTAGTATTGTTAACGATCGCAGTCATCTCTTGACGATCCAGAGCTACTTTTCGAATATCATGTCGACGAGCAAATAACAAACTTGCGTGACCCTCCGCGGCTTTACAGCGTGTTAAATTTCGCGGATCTTTAAGATAACCGGTGGCGCAGCTGCATTTGAAACCGCCTTTTTCATTATGACAAAACTGAGAACAGCTACCCGGTTCCAAGCATTCATCAACATCTGAAAAATGAAGTAATCTCTTAGCAGTTTTAATATGGAGCTAAGAACTGCGATGAAAGAAACCTTAAGGAAATATTGTGTTAACATTCAGAAAAATGCAACTTTGTTCATACCATCGCACGTGCGGTTGTCGATTAGTCTATAACCCGTGCGACAGTCACATCGGTAACCAATAGGCAAATCGACACAGATCTGCGAGCATCCACCGTTATTTTTTGCACACTCATTCACGCCGCAGAGCTCGGCACTCTCATCCTCCCAGCCGATGCAATCTGGATTTTTGTTGCAGACGTTTTCCAGAGGAATACATGAGCCCTCGCTGCACTCGAACTGAATTCGCGGATCGCAGCTTACGATTTTGCTTGTACAATTCTTCTCATCGCTTCCATCGGAGCACTCGGCTTTACCGTTGCAATATAGATGACCTAAACATACAAATCGTTGAAAATCCGAAACATACACAATAATTCGCGCGACTGCCATGTGAAACGATAGATTTCTGATTTAAATCTGACATGATAACAAATTAACATTGTTTCCGTAACATATTAATTACAACATGTTGTTTTAACATATTAATTTTTAAAATTCAATTTTAACGTAAAGATTAAATTTAATCTTAACCGTGTCTTCTATTCATATAAAATATACTATTTATTAACATAAAAGATTTTTCATTAATTTATCGTTTACATCATCACATAATTCATTGTAATGTTATGTTTAACATAGTAACAATTTTGAATTTACAGAAATATTATATCTTTAAATATGCCAGTATATACCTGAGATACACGAACGTCGATCTTCGCATTGAAATTGATCGGGTCTGCAAGTTACATTGTGGCATCTCTGTGGGGATTCATCCGCACCATTGGGACAGTCTTTTTCGCCGTCGCATACCCAAGTCTGATGGATGCAAGTAACACCATCGTCGCAATCGAACTCCTTGTTCTCACAGTGGCTTATCTTCTTCCCGTTATGAATATCCTAAAAGGGATGAATTTCAAAGAAATTTCAAGAAATGTCGGATCTGTGTGCAATGCTATATTATGTAAATTGTATCCCATTATTTTCCTCTCGAGTTTCTATGTTCTTAACATTGTGCAAACGTTTTTAATTATTTGGTACTTGAGACTAGCATGAAGATGAAATACCTTGCATCCCATCTCATCGGATCGATCCGGACAATCGTAGTCGCCGTCGCATCTCCATCGCGACGTTATGCAATAATTCTCTGAACATGCAAAATCAGTGCCAGGATGACACGTTATCGGTCCACAACCCTTCTCGTCGCTGTTATCCCCGCAATCATTGTCATTGTCACAAACCCACAGTTGTTGGATACAGTGTTTATTCGCGCAGGTAAACTCATCGGACCGGCAAGTGTCGTCTAAGGCAAAAGATCTCTCATGTGAAAGAAGTGGAACAACATTTTATTTACTAGTAACAAAAATTTTCTCGCGCAGCTATCGCTGATCTTAACAGGGATTGACATTTAATTAGCGTACAAACATAAAGTTTTTTAAAACAATTTTCCATGACTAAGTATGTTATCTATATCTTATATAATCTATTAATACAAATATTTAAATGCTTGTATTAATATTTTAAATAATATTAAAAGTGGCAGCCTTTTGAATTACATGTATAGTAAAATTATGTTATTATATATAATTCATGAAAAAAAAATTGTAAATAATAAAAAAACCAAAACAAAATTTTTACCTAAAACAGTAAATACACATATGTAAAAAAAATGTCTAATTAAAAAACAAACATTATGCCAATACTTATAAGGCAACGTGATCTTGCATTAAGACACAACTTGCATCCAATATGACTTAGGGAACCTCGATATCGTTTAACGACTCTCTTTATAATTTCTTGATAAACTATACTGTGATGTAAAGTGTAAACTATATTATAATGTAAAAACGTAGTAGTATCAGTGGATCCGATAACCTTTCATAATGACGCATTTTTGTCTAATTTCGCAGTAGTTATAAATGTTTTTATAACAGAAGATTATACGTTAAAAGAGGACGTTTGCATTTGCGTTATTATTCTCTATTGGTTTTTTTCATATTTCCTCTTATAATAATTGATTTGATAATGCCTATATAATCATTACATTTAATCTATTCTTAAATAATCTATTTCGTATAAATATGAAATAAAGCTTTATAAAGAAATTTCATTAATCTTTTAATACACAAGCAAATATAATTTATAATAAATACATATAATAGTATTTACATATTTGAAATAAATAATAAATTACACTTCACTTATAGTATTTCACTTATAGTGAAAAATACAAATACTATTATTTTTTTTAAATATAAAAAACTTTTAAATATCTGCTTTTACACACACATGCAAGACGTATTGGGAATAGTTATGCATTATTGTTAGATCACAATCGTAATATAGAGAAATAGAAAAGACAAATTTCACAGCTTTCACGTATCGACATATAATTTAAACAAGAGTATGAAGACCTACATCATGATAAGACCAACATAAATAGCTTTAACGTAATGACTCGTGCGCAAATATCGTTCTAGGAAGCAACATGTTTATTAAATGTATTTATGTAAAAGAAAATCTGTTTTTTTTTTCACTAGACTGTTATGTATTCTGTAATCGCAAACGTTTGCGCTTTCAAAGAGACAAGTTCCACAGGAAATTAAAGGTTCCCGGCAGTCACTCGTAATTTCAAGCAGGACAATTATCTGCTTCTCCAGCAAGCGATATCTGCGACACAACTTTATCTAATATCTAACGAAAAAAGCTACGTATTAAATTGCACTCTCAAGTATTACGATCGGAAATTTTCTAATTGAGAGACACAAGAGATAATAAGTATATAACATACTCACAAGTGACTCCAAAGGTATATGAAGAAAATAAAAAAATATAGAATCAATTATAGAGTATAGTAATTGAATCGTGGGTAATCCATTTCCGACTCAATCTTTTTCATTTGAATAAAATCACTTTAGCGCCAATTTATATAATAATCACGAACAAACGGAAAATGGACGGAACAAAGATCGTAATTTTATTACAAATTTATCGTAAATTTATTAAAAATATATATAAATTAGATTTAAATAGACCTTCTCGGTTTCAGATAAAATTTTTAATAAATTTTTCGCGTTACTTTTTACCCACAATCAATTCTTGCAGATCTTAATATTATCAGCCGGCAAAGTAGCAAGGAAAGAAAATCGACGAAAATCAGCGCATTACAGAAACATCGTCAATAAATCAACGCACCGATAATTACGGCTAATAAAAGTATAAATAACGTAATTCGTGTAAGCCGTTTGTAAAACGAAAATACGACGTAAGATGGACAATTCATTTGTAAAGTGTGTGCGTTTGAGGAGTAGTTTAAAGCAGCTATTAATGATTGTATCAAACTACAATCATTTTGCTATCATATTATGATTCTTTTCCTTATAGATTCATGTTAATCATCACAATTTCTTTTACATAAGCAACCTTCACCAATCAAAGATTTTAGCGCTTGTCCCAAGGAAGAAGTACTATCCCACCACCAATTCAGCTATAATTGTTTTCGACTAGAAACATGTCGATGTAATTTATTTTGGGCATGATAACTACGTTTATCTACGTCTACGATAATGATATTACAATTATATATTTGATATAATTTAATAAAATATAATTTAATTAAATATATAATTTATATATTTCATATTTATAATGTGAAATTGTAGAAAGCTATCTATAATGACTACGTTTACACGGATACCCTTAATCGGGTTAATTTAATAACATGTGGTTAGAAACTGGCCAATCACAGTCATTCCATTCTTCAGAGGATCAGCTTTGATTAATCAATTTCATAACTACGAATGTTATTAAATCCGATTAAGGATGTTCGTGTAAACGTAGTCAAAGTCTCAAACTATAGATATGCTTGCATCTTGAAGTTTATATAGATTTGTAATTAAAGCTCTATTTAAAAATATCTTGGACAATTGAGATATTTTTTCTAAAAAAAAAAAAAAAAAAAAAATCGCGAACTATATCGTTCTGTAGAGTTTCAAAGATGCACAATGTATTTCATGCAAAAACTAGTCAATACATGTATACCAAAGAATTTCGACTATTTACTTCCGAGATATAACGTGCAATATATGATAAGGCATAGATAAAAAAAAAACAGAAAAAAAATAGAAAGAACAAAGTATGCAAGCGTATGAAAAAGTAGCCCACGTGCAGAAGCTTACTGCACTCAGCCTCGTCTGAACCGTCCGAACAGTCAGGGTTGTCGTCGCACATCCATGTTAATGCCACGCACTCGCCATTTCCCGAATGGCACGTGAATTGTTCCGGTGTACAGGTCTTGGTCCCTACAAGATGACAATTGCATTGTACCGGATTCGCGATTACAACGCAGGGCACGAGCCCCGACAAAGTGGATACTGCGATTGACGTTTAGTTTCGCGATAGCTTCGAAAGATAGATTGCATCCTTGCATAAAGCGAGTGTAGAAAGCGTATGCAGAAGTTTGAAATACTACTCCGTTTATATCAACAAGAGTAGACTAAAAAGCTAAACTCCCAACATCTCACCAAGAAAATTAAGATTTGTTTAGATACTTTTTTAATCTGGAAGTAAATACAAAAAGTCAAAATCAACTCTGAACAAAAATATTCTAACTTCCGCTCTTTATAGCTGATAATAAAATTGGCTTCGTTATTTCTCAACTACATCAATATTATTAATTTATTATTTTATTATTCTTGGAAGTTTATATACTCGTATATTATCTATTATCATTAGATCACCACAGAGAATGTGTTTAAAGATTTATTATATATTAATAAATAGCATATACAAAAATAACGTTCTAATAAAAATATTGAAAATTTTACTTTATTAGTTACTAAGTTAAACAAAAATAGTGATTATGCCTATAATGTAAGAATTGGATCAATTATTATTGATTTTACCGAATCTATTATGCCTGTTATCACTACATCGATCCCAAAATTATTCTGCATTGAATAAGTTATTTGCCATTATTTCCTGTTTCAATACATGCAATTAGTAGACCGAGCACACAACTTTCTCGCAAGTCGTAAGCAATAGAATGTATTGAGAATACGAGGATGCAATCTGAGATTCTGCAATTTGCGCTTTGTCATTTGTTCCGTAGCTTTCCGGCTGATCCCGTCCCTCCTTGGCTGCTTTCCGGTAACACCTACGCTAAAGTACTTATCCGCGCGACTTACTGTAACAATCCTTCTCGTCCAAATTGTTGGAGCAATCTGTCTGATGATCGCACAGCCACGTCTTCGGAATGCACTCGCCTGGACTGCATTCAAACTCCCTTTCGTTGCATGGTATCAACCCTTTTATTCGATTCAATACTCTCTTAATTATCTCTTTAGTCTTAAAATCATATTTTTTATATTGTCACAAACATAGGCAATAATTTCCCAAATAAAAATTGTTGAAAGACTCTTAAAGGTCGTCTAAATAATCTAAAAGATATTTTTTTAACATCTTTATGATACACAATTCATACATTTATTTAATATAAGTTACTACTTTATTAAAAATACTTTAATTAAGACGACAATTTTTATGTGGTGTGCAACTCAGAAGGCTTAAGTTTTTCATCTTAATCTCTATATGCGTTTTTCTCTTATTTAATTCATATTTTGTTCTTTACAGCTCAATCTCCTTTATTTAAAACTTACTTTAGACGATTTAACATTTTTGTAAGAATTCAGAATAGAATTTTATAATTTTATATGTCAATTTCACATGTAATAATAAAAAATATTTCAAAAGAAGCTTACACATACATATATAGTATAAAACCTACATTAAATTATTAAAATGCTCATACACATATTAAATTACTCATATACATATTTAATTACGATATCAAAATATATCATAAAAATTATAAATGGAATTCTAAATCGACCCAGAAATCTGCTGTAAATTATACAAGTGAGTAAAGCGAGCTTTAGTTTGTCCATAAATGTCAATACTTCATTTGTATGACGAATGAGATGTCAATGTTAAAAATATTGAACGTCAAACGTTAAGCATAGATGTTTCAATATTATCATGTGTAATAATGCTTGATTATATAGGCAAACGAAGCAGTCGCTAACCTTTGACATTCGATATATTAGCATGTCATTGTTTTCAGATTCAAGTTCGAATAAAAGAGCTACACGCCTGCAATCACATTTCTATGTAACAGAACGTAAAGTAATCTCTCTTTTATGAAATAATACCGCGCGAATATCACGGAACATTGTATAATAGATATACAGAATGTTTCCTTATTAAAGGCATTTCCCTCTTTGACTAATGTTGAATGAAAAATATCATGTATGTTTTTGTAAAACTTTGAAAAAATTCTATTCAAAGGACAAATTCCATTTAAAATTATCCGAAGAATGCTGTTATGTCATTCACTTGGAATGTCTATTAATTAACAAAAAAAGTTTATGCAAGATAAAATAGTTCATTATGTAGGCCATTTGTTAAATACATAGAAAACGGTGAAATTATTCAACACACACGTATGTGTGTGTGCGTGTGGGTGTGTGCGCGCGCGCGCGCGTGTGTGTGCGTGTGTACAGTTTCAAACTAATAACAGAAGTAGATAATTTTTCTATTAGAAGAACTATCGTTTCTACATTTTCCATGAAAATTGCAATGTGTGACGATAAAACTCAATCGCATTTCTCTACTTTATAATTTAAGAGGATTTTTAATGATCCGAAGTGCAATTTACATCATAATTGAAATGATTAAATGCACGCGTAATTATATCCGTCAAAAGGGCTTTGCATCAACGTGCACTAATTAATATTAAATGCGCATTCCACTATGTAATTATGATCGCCGTTGCAACCTTCAAGGATCGATGAGATTCGATTAAACTAATCGATTAGCATCCATTTCTGCCTCGCTATACATAGGTCGAGAGTGGAGATATACAAATACATATGATTTACTAATTGGAGAATGTTAGGCAAACTACAATTCTAATTAAAAAAGTACGTTTTAACCTAGAATACTAGAATCTAGAATACTAGAATCAAGTATTGTCAAAATAGGAAATAACCTCGTTAATAAGGGACACCCTGTATGTCAGTACGCTTCACCTGCTTGAAAAACCGGTCTCCAAAGTTGTACTTTCACATACCGGGACCTTTTACAACCACTATATTCGGATGCACTATATTCGGGTAAATATTCATTAAATCATTTGACACTACAATGCAATAACGTTGTTCATAAATAAAGTTAGTCAACTTTTAAGTTTTATCGGTATTCTGAGAGAATTACACCTTAATGAAAAAAACGATGCTAACACCGTACGATTCGCGTGTATAAATTTTCTATTGTGAAATATGCAAAGATCTCTTCATTGTCTGCTTTGTACAAAGTGCACCCTTGCTTTTATAAAAGTGAAATTTATAAAGCGTTTATAAAAGATAATTAATAGACTTTACGCTAGAGATGCATAAATTACGAATTTCGTATTCCACATATGTAAGTATACAAGGCAATTTCTCTCAAAGCGGTAAATGCTAATAGATATACTTTATTGGCAGTAGTGGAGAGATATTAATTTCGCGTTTATCTTACCTCGGCAAATATTTAATCTACGATTGAATTGGCTTTTAATATACCAACCAGTAATTAACTTTCAAAATTTAATTTTTATTAAAAATTTTTCTTAATCTGCTATAAAACTAATTAAAACTTTTTGCATTCGGACTTTTTCATTCGCAATCATAAAACGAGTATTTCCTAAATAAAAAAAAAACAAAACTTCTAAAACTATATTATAAAAAATCATTAACTTACCCAAATTATATAAAAATTTTTAATATACATATAGTATGTATTAATATCTGACAAGTCAATCAAATTTGATTGAGTTTTAAAAAAAATTAACAAGATAAAACTGTCGGTTCAAATACTCTCTTTTTTTTTAACTTGAATTTCTTTTTCTCTTGCCTCATTAAATTTAGAAACTTAACCGCATCTTTTTCTCGGCCCGTATCTCTCTCAATAATCTCAATGGATATTAGTGCAAATTGAGTAATCCAACGTCACAATATATATTTATATACGTTACATGCATTATAAAAAAAAATTGCAACTTACTGCAGACAGCAGGGTCCTCGTCAGTCCCGTCTGGGCAATCTCGGTCGCCGTCGCAATGCCATATATTAGGTATGCATCTGCCGTTACTGCACTTGAAGTCCGTCTCCTTGCATTCCAGGGTGTCTGAAATATTCGTATGGGAATGAGCGATCGCACTGATCGAGGGAATAATCGCGCACGAGAGCAGCAACAGGATGCACGTGCACCAGGAAACGTTCTTGGGCCACGTCGGGCTCCTGTCGAGCTGCATAATCGCGCGAGAAGAGTAAACGCCTGTTTGTTGTCTAACGTGCATGCAAACTGCACTGCGCAAAGCCGCTCGATGCACTACGTATACGATTCCTACGGCGCACTCGAGGAGAACTCGGCGTTTCAATCAAAGATCAATTTCTACGCATCGTTATTCTGTGCGCCGTACAACGTCCACTGCGAGTCTATCGCTGCAGACGCTGATGAAATCTTACTGACGTATGTCATTCGATAAATACGCAAATTGAATATTTGCAGTGTAATATTTTTTTTTAATTCCTCTCGCGATATTTCAGAATTATCGGAGCACTCGCAGAGAGGAAGGAACTCGATATTATTCAGACTTCGAATGATGCGTAGTCTCAATTTCAGCTTTCACGCGAGCGAATGTGGAGTAAAGGAATACGATGCACTCACGGTGGTAGCCGCGAATTCTATAAGGCTGCAGCCCAGCAAAGGGGCGCCTATATATGGGCTATGGTACTCACACAACCGCAGCAGCGGCTGCAGTGGCAGGAGAGAAGCGAATCAGAGTATCAGAACCCTATCGCTGATCCTGCGGATTGTTGCGAATCTAGTGCGTTTCTTACAATTTTCTAAATTACGTAGACGTATGTCATACACAATCTGTGGATTATCGGAGGTCACCCGAACTCTGATAGACCTAGTTCGATTCCCGCTTCACGAAGAAGTTCATAAAGCAGACCTGTCCAATTTTAGCGCCGGAGCCAAAATGCAAAGCCATCGACGCAAAAATATTCAATATGAATAAGATATCGGGAACCGTAATGTTGATAAGCATCGCTCAAACGCATATCAGCATTTCACAATCCCCGAAATTTTACTTACATTAGGTTTTTTTGCGTCGATGACTTTGTGTTTTGGCTCCGCAGCTAAAATTGAACAGATTAGTCATAAAGAGAAGAATAAAAAAAATAATTAACCCATAAATGAGGAGTTATTTTGAACTAAATTCTTCTCTATGGCTAATTTGATTGCTCAATGTCGACTTAAATCTTTTTAAAATTTCCTAATATTTTAGACATTTTAATGGAGAGAGAACAAAACTGTCTATTACTGTAGCTTAAATTCGAAATCTTTTTACAATAAAATAACACTGACAAAGCTATTTTTATTTGATTGCATATGTAAAAATTAGTGTTGAAGAAGAATCTAATATAATTTTCACATTCAGTATACGAAACATTAAAATTATACCTTTCATCTTCTATATCCTGAATACTATAATTTATTATAAGATTCAAGATTTTTTGTAGCAAATCTCCTGCCATATGTATATATAAAAATGTTTCATTTTACAGAGTATATGTATACGTAGCATAAAAGAATGAAAAGAGCTTTACTTTTTATATGGATCATAAATTTAAAGATTTTATAGTATCGTCGTTACAATAAAATATTTTTATGTATGTAGAATTCATGATATGCATATCATAAGAAAATTACGTATAAAAATAGCGAAAAAAAATTATCTTGCATTTTAAATATCTAATTTTTCAGGTGTTTTTCACAAATTTGTACGATTATGTCTGTTGACATAAAAATATGTATATTAAATTTCCAATTAAATCTCACTTTTATTTTGATACTTGCTGTAACATTGTCAAAGAATTATGTGTTCTAAGAATTTGATCAAAGACATTTTCTAAATATACGTCTGTAAACTTGTCATTCTTAGATTTATCAAATTCTTAGAACATCATTATAGCGGTATAGTAATAATAATACAAAAGTAAGCACCAATAATGAGGTTAGATATTGACATAAAAATACGGAAAGTAGCACAAAAGATAGCAACAAGCTTCAGATATAGCTATCGATACAATAATTGAACGAAAGTATATAATCAATTAAATATGAAATTTTATGGCCTGACGCTTATATGTATATATATCTTATTTAATAAATTGATCATAGTGCATTTTTTCTGCAATAATTTCATAACAGTAATGATCGCAAATAGATCAATGTGTTCTCTTATTTATGCTTTTAAATATTTTATTATAAATGTTATAACGCACAATACATACTTGTATATATGGATAATGTTTAATAAGAGAGCAGATCAATTTATGATTGATTGCTTGGAAATAATTTTTGGTAAAAAGATTCTTAAAAAAAAATATTCTTTTCATGACAGAATTTTATAAGAATAGTTTTTAAGATATTAGCTAATAATAGATTAAGGAACGATAAAAAGTTTTCATGAGTCAAATTTTAAAGCAAAGATAAACTGTCATCAATAATTTTAAATAACTTTTAATTTAATACAATATGGATTTAAGATTTAATTATAGATATATGTAATCTTGTCGTTTCGTTATTTTTCATATAAATTTGGTTTATTTAAAATAAATTTATTGACATAAATTGTAATAAATTTAAGTCTAGACATTATAATATAATTTTAGTTAAATAATATATGTATATTCGTTTTTCTTTATACAAATATAAATGTTTAAATATGTTTAAACTGTTTGGTTTGTATAATGTTTCAACATAAAATAGTAAGTTCAACATAAAATTGTAAAAATATTTTGAAACGTAAAATTTTCAAATATGTGATATGTTTATTAAGAAATTTAAAAATGTTGCTCGTTAATATATTTTTAATTTATATTTACTTTTAATATATTAATTAATATATTTTTACAATAAAAATAGAATTACACACATAAATAAATCAAACAGAAATAAGATTAATATTATATATATAATAATTAGAAAATAATAGTAAATATTTCCACTAAAAAAAATTTATCAAAAATCTTACTTTGAAATTTGGTGCATTTGTTACATTTCGTGAAATCACGTGAATTAATAAATGATAAAATCGCTTCTGCCAAATAATTATAAGACTATCATAGAGCTGACTAGCACTTCGATTGTAGAAACATGATTCTGAGATATTTGCATCTAAAGTTTTCGGCACCGAATGAATGATGAATTGTCGTCGTTCAATGAATAATCAATGTACGCTAAAATCAAATGCAATATTCAATACAGATTTATAGAATATTCAAACGGTGTATATACATGCCATAGGTCTTGACTGAATTCGTTAGTTCTTTTTGACAATACACATACATACACATGTGTTCTTCGTTTACTTGTTTAAAAATTCATTGATAGAAAGATGCTATACAATTTTTCGTACACAATATATAAAAAAATATCGATTATGCGACAATTGAGAAAGTGCGAAGAATTTACGATTCACTGCAGCACGTGCACGTACATATGCTATATAAAATGTAAAGCACAGGCACGAAATATGTACGTCGTGTGTAGCCTGTTAAAAAGGTGGGGTATGGGGTGACGATACGGGATCGCGACCAGTTTTCTGGCCGTAAGAATCTTGTCCCGTATTGCGATTCTGATTAAGAACAACCGTATCGTCATTCCCTTTTTGATGCGTTTGACTTTCCGTCCCGTGACTAGATCACACTCTATTAGCGATATCTCGGTCGTCGCGTGCTTATAAGATATATAATATTACCGCGAATCAATCGATTCGTTCCCGAGAATCCTATTCTTAATGCAATATTAAAATATCTTAATAAATTACGACATTATTTATATTCAAACGCTGCTAACAATACCAACAGTTTCGACGCTATCCACGATAGGCGGCCATTTAACATTGAAGCAATT